AAAGTTTCGGTTTTTTCGCCCAGCCCTTTTTTTTTTCGGTATTATTTTAAGACTGGAGGGGGTGGTTTCCGGTATTCCCGGGTTAATTTCCCCAAAAAAGGTTTAGGAAATTAAAAGGGACCGAAGGGTTCCCCAAGTCAATAAAATTCAAGGATAGATAGATTGGCTCATTCCGTTGGCTTTTCCACCCCATGGGGGGTAACCCTTGGCCGGGAATTAAGGAAGGAAAAAGGAAAAGGAAAAGGAGGGGTTCGGAGGAGGGGTTTGAAATGAAAGGGATATTTCCCAGACAGAAAAAGCCCCCCCCCGGGCCCAAGGACAAAAAACCAAATTTATTAACAAAAGACAACAAAAACCACCAGGCGGCCCCCCCCCGGACCCATAAAATTCCAGGTCTTCTTTGGGGGGGGGTGGGTGCAAACGGTGAAAGTCCGGGGGGGGGGGGGGGGGTGTACTCATAGTCGTGCATGCCGTAGTCGTTAGACCATTGACCTCGCATCCCTACAAAGCCGGGACGGAGCACGCCGGGTTCTCACCGGACCAGGCTCTCACATCACCAAGCGCGAAGCGCCGTGAGGTATTTGGCGAGTCGCATGAAGGGCGAGCTGCATCCTGCTAAGGGTGTTCGGCATCTTGTGCGTACTTCCTTGCGTACGGATGACAGCTACGTATGACTTAATTTATTTTCTGGTGCTTTCACTTCCAGAGACAGTTGTAAGCACTGTGTAACTGCCTCGAGGATGCTTGACCATTTCAACACAACGTGGTGCGATCATCCCCCGTTGCGCGGAGTGAGGGTTCTCGACCCGCACAACATGATCTACTCGACCACCATTATGGTTACCGCCAAAAAAAAAAAACGAGGTAAAAAAAAAAAACGGTAACCTGGTTGCCGAGTTCACGAAGTGAATTGGCTTGTTTTACAACGTCGTTTGCCAAGCGACGAAAACCCAATCCCGATGGCAAACACCGAGTGGAGGGCTTATTTTACAAAGTCATTGCCAAGCGACGAAAACCCAACCCCGATGACAAACACCGGGGGGGGCGGCTTGTTTTACAACGTCGTTGCCAAGCGACGAAAACCCAAACCCCGATGGCAAACAAGGCCGAGGGGGGGGGGAGGGGGGGGGGGGGTTAAGGCAAGCAAGGGGTTCAATCCGGCACAGCATTTTCGCGCCACTCGGTCCGGCTCTTCGCGTTCCTGGCTTCCCTCGCCGTCTCGTCTGCCTGCTGTACCAGTGGTTATTGCCGTGTCCGTGTTGTTGCCGGGCTTCTTGTTTCGTTTGAGCGCTCGTTGTCGGCTAGCCTCCTCTTCCTTCTTGTGCCAGGAGGTCATGAACCTCGTAGCTCCGTGCAGCACCCCTTTATGCCACGGGACACCCCGATACACCTTTGCCAGCGGTATTTACGGGAGCCATATAGGATCCACCGGTGCTGGACAAGACACAACCAAACATCGCCTGGAATGAACACTAGCAGCTAACAGCACCCACAAATTCCATTTCGTACTGCCTCCATGTCTGTCTGCCATGAATCTACTCTTACAGTGCTTCTGCGGTGGGAGTTCAACCGACCTCTTGCAGCACGGGGAGTCAACTGCCTGCGACTACGAGTGCCCGGGGGACTCAGATGAATTGTGCGGAGGATTCTATGCAATGAGCGTGTACTCCTACTCGTAGTACCATCGTCACGTGTACATTGTGAAACCTCCTGGCGTGGCGTCAGAATTGGTGATGCAGTGTATTCCAACTACCGCAATTCGCAGACTTTGGTAATCTTCCATGACAGCATGGGGGAGATGGCCAAAAAAGTCGTGGACGCATCAATTGATCTGTTTTCACGGTACGAAAGGTCTAATTCGGCATGGGTGGTGCAGCCACCTAAAAGTTTATCTCTAATGCATAGCCTATGTCAATGTTTGGGTTCGCTGTCGAGGACGGCACGTTGTCTGTGTGTGAATGTTCATGAGGTAGCCCGCGAGTTAGGAACGGGGACTAAGTTGCACGGAGGTACTGGGAGGTCGTTCACAGCAGCGCGAGTGGAAAAACAACATGTGGGAATACCAATGCTTGTGCGTCCAATCAGGGGGAGGGGGTGGTGTGCATATTGACAGAATAATGTTCCCGAGATTCAGCTCATGCGTAGATAATAACGAGAGACCCGTTCCGGACCAATCCCGATTGCAAAGGGGACGACGGGATTGTCTTGTACGTTCTACCGTTGTTCCCTCGTGTGAGCTTTGATAGTGCCAGAGGAATAGCGGTAGCCGTTAGCCAACCTCTTTTCCGCGTGGCAGTAGAATCAACAGCAGGGTCGCGTTTTCGCATGACTGAATACCTTCACACGCGATAGGTTTGTGTTTGTTTGGCGAGTTCCCTTGTCCTCGGTTGTTGAGAGACGAAAGTAGACTACCACGTTGAGATAAACAAGTTCATAAGAGACTTGAAAATACTCGCCGGCTTGCCCCCTCAGACGGTAAAAGTAGTGCACTGACCTCAATGTAGCATGGTGTTGTTCGGGGTAAGGCGACTACGGGGGCGGGTGGGGAAGGGGCATAAAGTTGTCAACGTAACCGAAAGATATGGCCACCGAGGTCTGTAACTACCTATATTATTCGTGTTTGTGTTCGTACTATCTATGTGGTCCGTGTTATGTATCCGTCCGGACTCCCTAGTCTTGTAGGCGGGAGACTGCAAATTCTCCGGTGCCTGTGCAAAGGTTCCCGTGCGGAAGAAGATGGTTCTGCATGCGTGTGATGAAGTGCAGGTATTTTGGGCTCGCTCGAAGCGCGATAGTCTAATCAGGTACTCTGGTTTTGTTGGAGCACTCGAGGAAGGTAGACGTACGGGGATCAGGTCCCGGGTTTCTTGCAGACCGTCGTTGCGTAAGCGGACTGGTTCGTCGGGAGGAGTCTTCGCAGTGTCCACGCATTGCATCGGTTGGAACCGAAGCTGGTACGAAGCAGATTGTGGATGGAGTGCAAGACTACCTTCTACCCATGGCACGTAGACCAAGCGTAGACTACTCATTTCGTCGCTTTTGACGCTTGTGGGGTAAACATTTCTGTTGTATCACTAGTCGAATTTCGAACCACGCTCCCACCCGCCTTCCTTGTCGCCCTATTCTGCGTGTTGGGCGCGATCTGGGCGATGAGTGGCCACATCTGATACGGGTGTTTCGACTCAATTTCTTGCTATCGTTGTACCATGCACGATACGATACACACCATATTATATATTTTGGCGACGACTTGTGAAAGACAGAAAATGTTCTATACACCATCTGCCGAGACACAGAAGAACTCCGCCAGATACAGCAGTATACACCTGCCGTGTTGTCTCGTTCGTTGTCAGCATTTTCGCTCGTCAAGTCTGCTCGTAAAATAAATGTGGAAGATTGTATTACCCGTCCGTGACCGTGCACGAAACTGCGAATGTGGCCGTCCATAACGGCCTTCCCTAAAGCTGTGGACATGCCAGTTCCTATTAGTAAAAATACTATTATTCTTGTGCAGTTCCTATGATCTTCTGTCTTGTCAAACTCGCTAAAACGAATACTTCACACCCTGTACGACTACTTTAGTTGGTAGTTGTTTGCCAGACAACTACTCAGTACAGAAGTACAGCAGCAGGGGGTAGCGCAGAGCCCGCGGCGCCGGCGCTGGGGCCCGGGGGGCGCCGTGAAAATATCCACTCCGCCTTGCTCCGCCCCTACCAAAAAATTACGTTGACATGAGCTAGGCAGGAGGTGGGAGCATGGCAGCAGCAGCAGCAGTGGGACGTTTCTTTGGACACGCTCCATCAGCTTCTACCCCTTGTTTCTTTTGTCTTGGGATATCAAGCGATCGTGTTTCTTTTAGACGTTTTTTCTTATTTTCCGTAAAAAAAGTTTGAGCCTTTTTTTCTTCACGGAATTTTCGGGCCCTGTCTGTATTGTAGCATGCTCCAGCCTGGGGCGCCCTGCTACCATAGTAAATACTGCTGAACTGCGTTTCGGAGTACGGAATGTACTGTAGAACGCCTCTTGCTTTCATTGTTGTGTGTGCATCTCTACAGCAGTACTGCTGTAGATACAACATTTGCGTATATGTACATACATATATAATTTAGTGCTGTGTTGCTTGACGGCGGAACAAGGGTACACGGGACCGTTGATGTAGGCCAATCACAGGACGAGGAGGAGGACTGTGGTCCGGTGCGGCGTACCAGGGATCAGGAACCAGGGCGGGAGTGCGGGAGTACATGAGTACACCCAAAGTACCCGCGTGTGGTGAGTGCTGTGTGCTGTGCACAGGCGAAAACATCAATGGGGCATAGAGAGACAGCGACAGGGAAACCTCGAGTAGTAGCTCTCCGCCGCTTCTTTCGTATCGTCATCGCAACATTTCTCTCTTCTCGAGTATTGGAGTGTTTTGGAGTACATGGAGGCTTTGGAGCTTGAGCGCGGTTTCCTTCGTCCCCCGGGCTCCCGCTGTCGACCATCCAAAGTTCGATAGCTCCTCCGATGCAGGTGGAAGCGAGCACCAGGATGGTGGTGGGGGCGCAACAGGAAAAGGATCAGCGCGAAACATGTGTACTTCTTCGCTCCTGGCGTCAGCCGCAGCAGCGGTTCGTGTCACAGTAGTACAGGTAGGTGGAGGGTAGTCTACTGCTGTAGGTAGGAGCGCATTGGAACGGGTGTGCCCAGCTAGTGTAGCTTGTTGCAACGGCCGCAACTAATTATCACTCCACTCTGGAATAGCAGCAGCACCAGCAGTAGCAGCAGCACCACACAGCAGCAGCGGTCACACCAGTCACAGGGCGTGTACTACACGTCCATTTTCGGACAGGGAACAGGGAACTCGGAACGAATTATTGCCTGATTGATCAGCCACACAAACGGTACTTTCTGACGCTATGAATTCATTGCTAATCTGTCGCAGACTCTTTTCTATGATAAAGATGGATTCGTTGTGTCATATTAAGAAAAAAATAAATAATAAATAATAACTTTCCTGGAAACAAGAAATGCCACACACGTTCCCTGTTCCCTGTTTGAGGTAGTTACGCCGCACCATAATTTTAACTCCCGAGGGAGATAAAATTTGCCAACAGACCGTAGGGAACGTGGAACACGGGCTCTTCGGTGGCAATTCAGGACGTGGTGGGATGTGTGTGATCACTCTCGGGCATGCGGCTGCCACAGGTGCTGCATGCTACCGGTTCAAGCCGTGTAGGCATTGCCACCACAATCAGATGTCTCGCATGCAAAAAAACGGCTGTGGATGCTCGTGTAGCCGTTGTATGGGGGAACATAAAGTGTCAAAGAAACGGCAAGCTGCCGTGGACCACAACTCAAAAAGGCATGCCTGTCAGAGCACTGTCGAGGGTGCGGATTGCATGACGAGCACCGCCTTTTCCAGCCGATACCTAGCACATGTGTTTGATGTGCGCTCGTCAACAGCTTCCTTCAAAACTATTCCACCACCCCCTCTCTCCTCTACCGTCTACCGCCCACTCGTCTTTGTGCATCCAATGGTTGTATTTGTTGCCTTCGAGTATCTGCGGGCCCCAAGCGCGCACTGAAACGTTCCGTGTTCCTGGAAATGTGGTGTACGTCCCACGGAACAGGGAACAGGGAATTCCGAGTTCCCTGTTCCCTGTCCCCTGTCCAACAAACGGACATAAAATAGTTCCCTGTCCCCTGTCCAACAAACGGACATAAAATAGTACACGCCCTCGACTGATCTGTAATTCGGCAACATAATACTTTTACACACTACAAGTACAAGGTCTCCAGGCTCCACTAACCCTAATCCATGGGTACGCAAATAAGGCATGCACCCATGCCCTTGACAGACTGAAAAGTAACAATATTCGATGCATGGGTACGCACATAAGTCATGCACCCACAACTTGGCAGTCCCACCTATACAGACCTGCACGAACACCGTTTACCACCCAAGAGCGACCTAGCCCTACTCCAAGGCCCACCAACCTAGCACCTATCCACGCCAGGACCAACCTAGCATCTATCCAGGCAATATCAACCTAGATTTATCCCATCAACGCCAACCTAGCACCTATCCAAGCAGAAAAAAACTAGAGTTTTCCCCGTCGATACCAAACAATACCAACATATGCATATGTAGCGCCAATCCTGACACACCAACTTAGAACTGAGCCACCCAGCGCCAACCTAGCACCTATCGGGTGGGTTTGGGGTAGGGTTAGGGTTTTTAGCCGGCTTCGTGCCCCTGCCAAAGCAGAGCATCTAGTTATTAGAAGCACTAGTCTAGAATTTCTTTGACCACCTGGGCGCTGGTTGCAGGGACACACTTTCTTACAGCAGCAAGAGGGTAGGTCAGGGGTTCGAGCCTCGGAACATTTTTCTCTTTGATTCGTCTGCAGGGAGTGGACTTGGTGACTCAAAAGGCCAGTGAATGGTTGAATGTTTTTTTTGTTTGTTTTTGTCTTCACTTCAAATCAGCGCTCACAGCACTAGTGCCGGTTTACTCCAACCCGTGGTCACACAGAAGAGCCCCTCTCTACCCTCCCCTCCTGCGGTACTTTGCCTTCGATTTTTAATGCGAGAAGAGTTAAGCACTCTCTTCACTCTGTGTACACACGAACTAGCGCTATCCACTAGGCCAGGAGCGGAAGCGAGAGAAAAACTCATTTTGCAAGAAAAGCTCGCTTACGCCGGGATTCGAACCCCTGACCTGATGACCTCTAGAAGGTTTCGAGGATACCAACTAGATCACCGAGGCGACCGGTTGTTTGTTGGACTACAAAAAAGCTTCCAGTTTTATTCCGGTGGGGGTATCCGACGGTAGGCAGGGGTATCCGACGCGAGGCAGAGCAGTGGCAAGCAAAACAAGACAGCGTGCTAATGCGCGTGCCTGGTGCACACTGTGAAACCACACACATGGTATTATCTACATCATCTACATATCTATCGTTTTGATGAAACACTTGCAGGGAGACTAGCCTACGTCCTCTTCAAGACATTTATCATCGTTGGATCAATTTGATGACGAGCAAGCATGGCGTACCACAATTAACCCTACCTACCTCGCTACCCTACCTTCGAGGTTGCTGGCAGGAAAAAATAATTATTGAATCGGCTTTTCTCGCGGTAGACAAGTCTACAGCAGCATCAGGACAGCATGGGGCGAGCCGCGAGCAATGAAAACATCAGGGTGGTTCAATGTCAGTGTCTGTAGTAGTTGAGCTCATCTAGTTTACGTCATTACCAAAAAAGACGCCTACAGTGTAGTAAGTAGTCATGGCTGATTAGTTGACGTTCTCCAATAAAGCCTTGTCCAACGACCGTAGCGATTCTGTAGATTGACAGTTGACAGTGCCGTGTAGGTTCGCCCTGGTGCAGAAGATATAAGCGTTTTTCACGGTGTGCTGTGACTCGCCTCGCCCCTGGAGTCTCGAGCTCGCGACAGGGGCGTTGCGATCGAGAGACTGACGCGCTACATTGGGCAAAGACGGGCGAAAACAGTCTGAGGGCGACCGCAGACTGGTGCACCGAAAACAAACGTCTTGATTTAGACTGAAATATTGGTTGAGCTCGTGCGTCTCAGGGCCCAAACATAATGGTATGCATAAGGTATCTCTACTTCGTGCACACCAAACGTCTAAGAGACCGTCGAGTTGTGGCGTCAACCCCTCTGACAACCAGAGGCTGTTGTACGTATAATATGTTTTTTTCAACCAGTTTTCTCCCGCTGGTAGTGTACCAGTACCTTGCGAAAAATTCTGATTGGACTGGTGCGATACCATACAAACTACAATGTACGGTCTCCGCATCGGTGTATTTATTGTTGCAAACTGCTGCGGATGATTCCAGTAATATTCCTTCGTATCGGCGGGGTATATTCATTACGGTGGTAAAGTCAAGGTCGGCCCGATGGTGGTAGACCGCATTAATTGTGTGTGTGTTGGTTTCGTCAATTTCGTTCTGGCGCCAGGGTATGCTCCTCTCTCTGCATGAAATAACCAGTGCAGACTATGCATGAAATTTTCCAGCTTTTGCTTGGAATTTGACTACCGAAATCAAAGACATATCCTTTGGGGTTCGGGTGGATGGTGTAGGAGATCTACTAATACAGCTCCGCAAAGGTTTCGTGGCAACCCCGACGACAGACGATCGGGCGGTTGGCCTCGTATTATCGTGCACTCACCCCCCATGACCCACACCACGCACACACGCCATTTCTTCTAACCCTAGCCGACCATCACAACACTCCTACCCCTACGTGTGCTGTGGAGCGGGACCAGTCATCGTCATCACCACCAATCCACCATACCACAACTATATTACCGATCGCCTGCTGCCTCCGACGAGCTACAAGCAACAACCGATAGGTGCGACCGTTTTGTGAGGGGTATGTTGAGCCACTGCTGCTTGCACCTACTGTTGCGAGTACATTTGATGCCGGTATACTGCTGGGACATGCACCCGACGGTAGTCACTCCTCTGTGAACTATGCGGTACATTGTGTATTCGTTGGTACTTCTTGACTATGGTTTGCTATCGGAAAGGATAGCACTTCAAAAAATCTTCCCAGGGCGCTAGTCGAACTGGCTGCACGTGTGCGCTCCAACATGTTTTCCCTGCTAATGTTGCGTTCAAACGAACTCCTTGTTTCTCATAAAAGAGTATGCGCCAACGATTGTGTATAGTGATAACTTCGTGTGTACGCAATAAAACGACTTCATGGTCGACGAGGCAAAGCAACGGCGGAATCCTCCTGTCGAGAATAATATCAAGGCAAGCACCGCAGGAGGAAGGCGGGAAAAGTACAAAATACCCCGGTGTGGCCTTCCTGCTGTCTGCGTGATCCCAGCTGGTGCGTCCAGAAATTGTACCAAACAGTACCACAGAACACCGACGTCCAGAATAATAGGGATGACAAACCTAACAATCCTAACCCTAACTGATCTCGTATACCTATATCTTCCTATTTCATCACCACAATCAGCGCTCACACCATTTCTGCCGGGTAGGAGCTCCAATCCGTTTTCATGCTGAGGCTCTCTACCAATCCGTTCTGCCGTTCTTTCTTTCAACGTTACGCGAGAAGAGTGCAGTACTGTCCCCCCTCGAAGTGTACACACGAACTGCAGTAACGCTTTCCACAATCAGGAACCGAAGCGAGAGATATCTCACAGCAAGAGAAGCTCTCATATTTTGCCGGATTCGAATCCTGGACCCTAGTTGCTAGAAGGGTGCCAGGACACTAATTAAACTCCAGTCGTATGCCGTAAAAAATGCAACCCCACTCGCTCTGACGAACCGCAGTTAGTTGTGGGCATAAACGGTCCTCTGGGATTATGATCACTCTTGCAGATTCTCTTCCTCGTGCGTGAAACCTCCCATGGTACATTATGCCATGGTAGTACACCACCGCAGTACCATCAGTTGCCAAACAAGCTATGACCGGCGCTGCTGTACCCTCCCCCGACCAAAGTGCGCTGCAGCAGCGGCCTTATCGTTGTGAAACAGCATTCCATCACTTTGTGCCTTCAAATCGACGTCAATGAGTGGTGACAGGCAACCGAGACTTTCCGCCAAATCAACGATGTTACACCCCATCAAATATGCACGAAACATGCTTTGCTCTTTCTGCGCGATCGGAGATATTGCGTGACGGTGTGCACCTACAAGAATCTGCCAGCAGAGTGACATTGGCGCACAACACTCTCCCATGCATCAATGAATTATGTTCCGTTCTACTTCGCGTTGCTCTTTCTTGTGACGCCAACAGTTAGGTGCGTTCAACTCGGTACAAGGCGAGCACGATGTTGGGGGGACCGAAGCATCTTCTCATCGCCGCTATGGCTCTCCTGTCCATGGGCCGAGCGTCCAGCCAGTGTATCAGTGGGTCCTACGTGTTATGGTACCCGTGTGGAACGATCAGTTCAACGTCGTGTGATCGAGCTGGACTTTTCTTCCAGATCAAACGGGAGACCAACGTGAGTGATGTGGTGCAGTTATCTCACACAGCTACCGTAGGTTGCATAAGATACCGCACCCGTGTGATATCATTTTCGGGGGGACAATAGTTATCATACGGTTGTGGTATTCTGTAGGGGGTGTGATATCTTATGTCACCCGTGTGATAAAGTGCACTCACAGAGCCCCACCAACAGGGGGTGTGACAACAAGGGCTTGTTGGTGCACGATGGTTCTCCGCAGGGCGGTGCTGCTGCAGGGTTCTCAGCAGTAGCCGCGCTCAGGGTGTTGGTGGTTGGCGGGAGAGCTGCCGTTTCGGGTGTGGGTGTGGGTGCTGCGGGAGTCTCAACAGTAGGTTCTGCTTCGCAGGTTTCAGCGGCACCCGCGGTGGCAGGCGCAGCCGGTGCTGTGGGAGTCACAGCAGCGGTAGATTCTGTTGGGCGGGCCTCAGCTGCACGTGCGGTGTCATGCGCGGCTGCGGAGTGAATCGTCCCAGCAGCCCCACGTTCCCCCGGGGCGGGTTGAAAGAAGGACGCTATGGAACGTGGGGCCGCCGCTGGAGTCTTACCCACTGCAGTCTGAGCCGCGGGGCTTTCAGCAGGGTTGCTAACTGCACCACCCTCCACGGGATTGTTGGCCTCCATGGCCTTTACGAGTAGGTTGTTGCTTGTGATCTCATGCCTTCACCGTGTGATAAGCGGGGGCTCCGTCGATAATGTACGGCCCAACTTCAGGGGGTGTGGTATCTTGTGTCACCGTGTGATAAAATTACGCTTTTTTCGGGATTGAAAAAAATAGCACACGGGTGTGGTATTGTGAACGTTTTCTGAGGGGGTGTGGTATCTAATGAAAGTGTGATATCTTAGGCAACCTACGGTATATGGGTGACCTCCGTGGCGTGAGAGACGTATTGAAGACTGTGCTGCGCAACATAGGTTTTGCATTGTCTCACAGAGGGCTCGTGGAGGAATGTGTGGGCTCTCCCGTTCGTCCACAGCACACACACGTCCGACTATTGAATTCATTGGGATCCATTTGCCAACCTTCATTCGCCCTTTTGTTTGCCATGATGTTCAACTCGATCACTTCCATTGCTATCGCTCCCTCGCGCTTGGTGTGTGACGTCGACCTTCGCAGTGCGTGTCGTCGAACCCGATCGTGACAATCGATTTCACGGGACCTATCGTGAGCGGGGGTTATGCCTCAGGCAGCAGTACATTGTGGGGGGACGCATCTGATGATCAATTGAGCCTCACGTTCGACATGGGCGAGCTCGATCAGAGATACTCAGAGTCCGGGGGATACTATTACTGGCTTTTTAACCTTTATCTTGACAACTGCGACACCTCCTACACCTGGGACGACAACTTCGTCCAGCTGTCCTACGTTGACGACGAGCAAAACGCCATCGACCTGTCCGCATTTGAGGATCCTTACTACATCGAGGAACCGGACACCGGGATATGTCGTGAGTACGGTTCAAGATATTGTGCCAACTGAAGAACCGCTTTAAATCTTCACGAATAGCTCGTCCCTCATGTCTTCGAATCATGAAATCCTGTTGGAAGTCCTGTTCTTGAACCGTACAGTATTATACCCCGATGCGGGAAATATTGGTGCATCACAGGTCGAACTGCATGACAGCTGCTTTCCCAATCCAACTGGATACTACGCCCGCTCATGCGTTCCCTTCTTCTCCTACCCTGGCAGCCACTCCTAGCCCGGCCACGCCATCGCCGGCTACGCCAGCGCCTGTCACCGACGCCACCCCTGCTCCCACGCCTGCCCCAACCATGCGTGGTGAGACGTGATCAGGGGTGTGTTTCCCGTTTCTCCTCTATCCAGAACGTGGACGTGGTAGGTCGCAGTGTCGGTCGATACTCAAACTGCCGTGCGCACCTGATGTCGACCAACGCTTCGGACGAACGGCTTTGTGCCCGCGGAGCTCCTGCCGAAGCTGTTCTTCCACAATATCGCCTAGTGTCTGCGCTACGTGCAGTTGGGACCACGAGAAGATATATCCACGAAACAGGATACGCTCGAAGACACTGGTGTGATATCATCCCATCTATTTTTTCTGGGCACCAGCTGCTACACCTTTCCGTGTACTTTGTGGTAGTACCAGCCGGGATCAAACATGGGGAAAGCCATTCCGGTACAACAGCCAATGATGTATTTTCGTCCGCCGTCGTTCTGGGGTGCTTGCCCTGGTGATGACTGTGGGACGGTTGCGGCAGGCACTCGTCGACAATGTGTCGATTAGTGTGTGCTCGTCATATTATTCCCCTCATTGCTAGGTAAGCCGTGAGATACATATTCCCAATCCATGCGACCTTAACAGCCGGGTTAGAACTCCCAACCTATAGGTCGGAAGGTTTGGGTGGATAGACATAATATCTATTCAGAGGATTTTCATACTACTTACGTCGAAAATGCAAGCACCTACGAAAGCGGAATTTTGTTCGGTCTGACCCGCCAGTTCTAAGAGTCACGGTACAATATTCCAGAGAGATTTGCCACACTCCAATCCCATTGAGCCCTTCCCAAACTGCGCTCACGTGCCCCCTCCTGCCCATGTCGCGTTTGCCTCTGCTGCACAATAGGCGCCTATTGTCACGGTGACCCGCACTGCCGCACGTTCGATGGCCTCGCCTTCGACTGCCATGGAGACGGCGACTTCGTGCTGCTCAACTCGGCGGACACGGGTGCCATGGTGCACGCACGATTTGAGCCGCTCGTCAGCCCCGATGCCTCCTTCACCACCGGCGTGGCCGCAACCGAAGACGGCTCCTCTGTCATCGAGGTCACCGTTAACGACGGCGAGCGGACCATCCTGATCGACGGAGAGCCTTATGCATACGAGGGAGGAGACTTCCCCGAGACCATGACCGGGGTGACGCTCACAGTCACCGACCAGAACGTGGACATGTTGTTTCCCTCAGGGTTGCAGGTGAACGCCAGGCGCTGGTTCACGGACCCGAACTACATCGGGGGCGTCTACGTGTACGCGCCCCTCGCCATGTCTACGGTCGGCGTTCTCGGCACCAACAACGGGAACATGGCCGATGATTGGACGGTGAGAACTGCGTCACCTCGGTAGATGAATAGCCAGATTTGTACAGGCGGCCAATAGGTGGCGGTATTTCATTGAGCGGAGCTTTCGCGATGAGCCTGTGGCGGCGGGAACCCTTCGGTGTATTGGTTTGGCTGTAGAAACATTCACCACGTGGGTGTATGTCCTGCAAATCGTTGTTTTAGACGCACGATGCATCGAGTCCCGTTAGATGTGAATTCAGAACGAACGAGCACCGCACACAAACCGAACAAAATTGTGGGTTCCCAAAGCACGGACGTCGGGTATCGATTTGGCTCTGAACGTGTGACTTCATGCATCATCGTCTCCGGTTTCCAACCGCTTCCTTCCGTTGGGGTGGGACATGCCCGAAATAGTCACTCACTACCAGTGGCCGAAACGCTGTGTACCAATCTACACGGCAATGCAGTTGTTCTACAAGTGCATATGTGTATTCATACGCGTTGTTTGTGGTGTCCATACATACGTTAAAACTGCGCGAGAGCTTTCCGAGAGAATAGTTTGCCTCCCACCCGGCATTCACACTCTCCCTCCCTATTTTCAAGAGATCGAACGTTTTGGGGAAAAACTGCGGCCGAACCCCCATGCCAAGCTGCGATATATCCCTCCCTCTCATATCTCCGACGCGTCTAATTTAAGGCTTCTGTACCTTCCAGCAAAGTCCCTCGTCAATTCCCAACACCTCAATTGGTTCCCCTCTCGCAGGATTCCACGGGCGAGACGATCGGTACCGGGGCGGCGTCCATCGCCGAAGGGTACAACTATTGCACGTCCAACTGGCAACCGGAAGTGAGCCTGCTTTCGTCTCCCTCCCGCCGTTTGCGCCGCTTGCAAACCAGCGTCGACGACTACACCGCGCCGGTGATCCCAGATGTCATCCCCACCGACGTGGAAGAGGTACGCATACGCGTTATGGATGATACTTGATCGAGCTCAGGTTCACGCGCAGTTCATGCGTAGCTCGACTCCAAGGCGCTAGTACTTGAAAATTTCACCTATCTTCACCATGAACTAGCTCGATTAATCACCCGCAACAGCTGCCTAGTGATGTTTGTTCTGCGTTGTCCACATTATTTGGGGCATGGCTCCGTTGTTGGAGAGGGTGCGTCCTGGAGAACCCACGCCCCTCCCCTGTTCGAACGTCGCTCGAACACCATCGAGCAGGGGTTCGATCCTTTCATTTTTGAGGCTTAGTCGAGATCGGACCTGGCGATGGTCATGTCTTTCCAGCATAGAGAAGATTAGCGAACATAAGACCAACCCCCCCAAAATCGAAGTGACACCGTTATTGGTCCAGGATATTGCCTGCCGTTCGCAGCGAGTACTATTTGCCCTTCGTCTTGACGTTGATTTCCATGGATATTGCTATTCGGGACTCCCCGTTCCATCCGACACCGATCACCCGCTGCTATCGCCCGTCACCGATGCTTTGTCTCCCGATTCCGAATACTTGTAGCTGTGTAGAGACAACACCGAGTGCATCTTCGACGCGATTGTCGTGGGCCTGGATGTGGGAGCTGCCACCCTTGAAGCCGGCGACGAGTTCGAGACGGAGGTTGAAGCGGCTGGGGGTGGTGAGCTTCACCATCAACTATTCCTTTGCCATACCGCCGGCGGTTTCGTAAGCTGTCCCTTGCCACATGCCTCGCACACGCCTCGTGCCGCACCGTATTCCAATATCAGCCATCTCTCTCATTCTCTCTCTCTCTCTCTCTCTCTCTCTCTCTCTCTTGCTCTCATTCGTTCCCTTTCTCCGTCCCTTTCGCTCTGTGCGACATGTGACACAACACAACCCCAACAGACGTTTGCGAAGAAAATACCTTCAGCAGCGACGGCTTGCCCCCGTGCACCGATTGCCCAGAGGGGGAAACCTCCGGCCGGGGCGCCATCGTGTGTGAAGGTACTGTGGTTAGTCACCATTGAAAGATTCCGCACATCACGCACAGCTAGAAGTCAAGAATGGCGATCTGTTCACCCAAATTCCGACTCCAAGCCCGCCCCCTTACGCTGAAGTAGAAATTGCTTCCCGGACAAACGATTAAATTCGGGGTCGGACTTTCCTAAGAGGTGCCCAACGTCTATAACATCCTGCTAAGATTCACACCTTTTATGGGCTATTTCCCGTGGCTGCAAGATGTAAAACTTCTACCGCTACTATTGAGTATCGATTGACACCCCATATATCCCTGCCGTGATGGTCATCCAGCAACGTCTTCGCTGCCGATTGTCTTTGCTCGATTGACTCGTTCCCATTCCCACCCTTGCCAATCCGACCCGTTCTTCACCGGCCACCGTTTATGAAGAGCTGCCGACGCCTAGCCCCACTGTCGTTCAAGACCCTACTTCCGAGCCCACGCCCAGCATCACGCCTAGCCCCACATTGGAGCCCACTCCCAGCCCCACGGGCAGTCTGGACCCTCCTACTCCCAGCCCCACTATAAGAGATGAAGCGCCTCATACTCCCAGCCCGACTCCTAGCCCTGTGATAGAAGGCTCCCCTCTTGCGCTTGGGTGCTACGAGGACGACCGCGAAGACCGTATCATGGACGACCTCGCTCTTTCCGACAACGCCATGACAACCGAGGTGACTAAAATGTTCGACAAATTGGTCGCACTGTTGTTCGGTTTTTGCAGAGAGGGAGGGATGGAGAGACACAAAGACATACTTGCGAGGAGTTCCTCATGAAGAATTCCCCACGATGCAGTCATCACGTCGAGATTCGAGCCTCCGAAGCTCTCGTCCTACAATAGCTGTTGAAGAGATGTCATGCGAACTACTGTAGAAGAGAGTTAGCTGATGGTCTTGCACCAGGCCTGTATTGTCTAAGCTCCCACCCGTCGACTGGTAGATATTTCGGAAGTTGATGGGCACATGTCATCCTACACAGCTAGAAGCGCCCTACGTCCACGGTAGCCACTCACGCATATCCCCACGTGCGGCATCTGTAGAAGACCGGCCTCGTGTTGGGGTGTTTCACAGGAACGCCAATCTCTGGATGGGTTACCCTGTGTCTTATGATGTTGTGCGACTGAGGCCAATGTACCAGGCGACTAACAAGAGGTTCTACGATCCTACGTTGTCCACGTGTAGTCTTTGAGAGGTGCGTGAAATCTGCACTGTAGCCATAGCGTTGATCAATGCCTTTTTCTCTAGGTCTCGTCTGAAAATGCACGTCCGCTTGTTTGTTTGCTGAAATTCCCTCTTCCCTCTTCCCTCTGCCGTATCGTGCCAACGTGTTTCTAACATCAGCTTTGCGAGCTGACATGCAACGGTCAAACCTACTTCGCCACACAGTACGGGCGAGAGGTGAGTTAGCGTCAAACGCATAGAGCCTTGCCCTGACAAATGGTGCACATGTACTTAGAGGTATTCATTTCGTGACGAACGTTTCGCGGACACAACTCGAAATATTTTTACATGTGTCATCACTCTCCTGTGATATGTCCATCCTGCTTTTAATAAATGCACACTCAGGTCAAGCAGACGCGTACCTTTTCTATCCGAGACCTTTCGAATTACCGCGACGATCGAGTTGTCCGTAACCCTCCAAAAGTAATGGTTCATACACCAACGGGTGCCGAGAGGCTTCCGGAACTGTTATCAATGTCGAGAATACTAACAACTTCAACGACGTGCTGCGACGAGCAGCGTTTGTTGCATAACAGAGCAGTGAATCCTGTTCTGAGGCAGCATTTCCTCAAGCAACGAATGGGATAACCTACGTACAATTTCCGTCCAATACTGTAAGACTACGCGCCTTGAAATCGAGAAACGACTATATGGCCGTCTTTCATCTATGTGCCGATGAACAGAACTCTGAAGTCGTACTTGTGAATCGCGTATGTTTGCGCGTTGTAAATGTTAGGAAATGATGAAAAACAAACTAGTCTTGCGACGATCTACGCGCCGGGATGGCCGTATCGTGGAGTGTACCGGAAAGCACACATCGTGTGTGCATGTTGCCCTTGCCACAAGCGTTCTCAAACAAACCTCGCTTCCCGTCCGTCCGTTCGACCGTCCGTGTTGCCTCCGCCGAACTTAACCCACACAGTGCTGGTGTGGTTCGGCTGGTGCGGACTACACTTTGCACGGGGAGTCCACCGACTGCACCTACGCCTGCGTAGGTGACGCTGACCAAACGTGCGGCGGGTTCGATGCCGCAAACGTCTACCTTTACGCTGCCGAGAGCACTCCCAGCCCCACTCCTAGCCCCACGGCAGACGACGCTGGTCCTCTTGCACTTGGGTGCTACGAGGACGACCGCGAAGACCGTATCATGGACGACCTCGCTCTTTCCGACAACGCCATGACGACCGAGGTGATCAGAATGTATACGGGCATTGTGTTTTTTCCACTCCCCTGCATCAACATCTGAAGATTTGGTTCGATGGAGAATTGACAACACCCAGAGGTACCACAGGCGCAAATCATGTTCCTCACACTTTGGCGTGCTTGGGATGGGTTTCCTCAAGGACCCCCAACATGCGTCGAGACTCATACCCCGGAAACTGATCTTGATGGGAAGGGCAGTACATCATTTACACTCGTCACCTCTTACATCGAGTTTTGCCGTTGTTGGTCATACCTCAAAAATCCCACACAACAACCACCGTTCTGTGTCCACGGCTTGCACTCATGCATACCACTGCAGGAGCCCCCCAGACCTTCGGTGAAGTGTGGAATTGCACTGGAACGCCGAGTCTATGATTCGATTCGCTGTACCTCGCGATGTTGGGTAACTGTGACTAATGTACTGAATGCCCAAAGGAAGAACGATCTTCGTCTCCATCTGTGCTCCTGCATGAACATCCAACCAATACGTGTCGTTTTATTGTCATCGGAACGTACCTAGTGACGTGAAGTTCGAATAGTCTATATCCGACCACTGTTCCCTCTCAATTCCATTTGTGCGATCAGTTTGGCGTTTGCTCCCATTGCCTCTTCGCGCTGTCTTTTTCGACGTTTTCGTGTTTATGACATCAGCTGTGCGAGCAAACATGCCTCGGCAACATCTACTTCGCCACTCAGTACGGGCAAGAGGTGGGTTCAGGTAGTTGCCAGAAGCCTTCACGACCACGTTGGCTTGGAATGTAACCAACAAGTGGCATATTTTGCGACCGGGCTGTCGTTGTGGGGAACATTATAGTTTTGGGCGCCCTTAGACTGTAGTTGGATTATTTTCCGTGTGATGTATTGGGACCAAGGTAGGAGTAGTCGTCTTGGCGGTTGTATCAGTACCTTGAACGAAGCAGAGGTGCTGACGAATGCGATCGCGGATACACTACAATCGTTCATAATGAAATTTGTATTTCTTGTAGGAAATATGCCCTATCGAACATCCACCACACTTTGCTGTGGCTTTTCCTGGACAGAACGCCTCCAAAGAATATTTCTGAAATCCGAAATTGAACTACCTATGCATACGAGGTTATGATTCTGAGGTTCTTGCCATCGGGCTACCAGTATGGCCGAGCATCCCTCCCTTCGACCAAACATCCTGTCTGTCTGTCTGTCTGTCTGTCTGTTTGTGTTGCCTCTGCCGAACCTAACCCACACAGTGCTGGTGTGGTTCGGCTGGTGCGGACTACATTTTGCACGGGGAGTCCGCCGACTGCACCTACGCCTGCGCAGGCGACGCGGACCAAACATGCGGCGGGTTCGATGCCGCCAATGTCTACCTTTACAAGGGCGAGAGCACTCCCAGCCCCACTCCTAGCCCCACGGCAGACGACGCTAGCCCTCTTTCCCTTGGGTGCTACGAGGACGACCGCGAAGACCGTATCATGGACGACCTCGCTCTTTCCGACAACGCCATGACGACCGAGGTGATTAAGTTGTTTAACGATACTGTTTTGCATCGATTGATCAAATGGTTTTTGGTCCGCTGGAGGATGGGCGAAAACCAGTGGTACGCCTTCAGTCCATTTGGCAACTTCTCAACAGACGCAAGGCATGTTTAAACGTATGATATTTTCCCTCACAACGTGGCATGCTTGGAAAGGGTTTCCGCAAGAAGACTCCCCACATGCGGTGACTTTGTCGGGGCTCCGACCCCGCAAACTGGCTTGTTAATTGGCACATCGTTTACTCTACACCGAAGATTTCCTGGCGACTAATTGCGCGACCTGCACAGTTCCTATCCGTCGGCCTATACATCGAATTTTGCCGTTCGTTGCTGGTCATGTGTCAGTCGCCCTACACAACAATGCCTTGTGTCTACGGGGTGCGCTCATGCATGACCCCCTAGACGATCGGTGTGCGCTTGCACTGGAACGCCGAGTCTATGAATCGATTCGGCTGTATGTCGTGGTATTGGGTGGGTGTGACCACCGTACTGAACGGTCAAAGGAACAGCCGCCTCCATGCGTGCTTCGGCAGAAACGTTGAAAAATACTCCTCCTTTTCAACGCTTGGCATACTTGTCGCAACCTTCCCGGGCACCGTCAAGTTAACGGCCACCGTCTTCTCGCTATGCTGTTTTGAAATTCACTTTCGGTTCGGTACTTGCTCCCTTTGTCTCATCTCGCTTTCGTTCTCAATTTTTCGTGTTGCTGACATCAGCTGTGCGAGCAAACATGCCTCGGAAACACCTACTTCGCCACTCAGTACGGGCGAGAGGTGAGCTCAGGTAGATGGCAGTAGCCTTCACGACCACGTTGGCTTGGAGTGTAACCAACAAGTGCCATATTTTGCGACCGGGCTGTCGTTGTGGGGAACCTTGTAGTTTTGGGCGCCCTTAGACTGTAGTTGGATTATTTTCCGTGTGATATATTGGGACCAAGGTAGGAGTAGTCGTCTTGGCGGTTGTATCAGTACCTTGAACGAAGCAGAGGTGCTGACGAATGCGATCGCGGATACACTACAATCGTTCATAATGAAATGTGTATTTCTTGTAGGAAATATGCCCTATCGAACATCCACCACACTTTGCTGTGGCTTTTTCTGGACAGAACGCCCCCAAAGAATATTTCTGAAATCTCAAACAAAATAGCTCTGCGTGGAGTATGATTCCAAGGTTCTAGCAGTCACAATGTCGGTGGCATGGCCGACCCTTCCTCGCCTCGACAACGCATCCTGTCTGCCTTTCTTGTGTGTCGGTGTTGCCTCTACCTGGAATAAACACAAACAGTGCTGGTGCGGTTCGGCTGGTGCGGACTACATTTTGCACGGGGAGTCCGCCGACTGCACCTATGCCTGTGCAGGGGACGCTGACCAAACGTGCGGCGGGTTCGACGCCGCCAACGTCTACCTTTACACGGGTGACGACGTGCCTACGACATCATCGTTCGTGGGATGCTACCAAGACGAGTCGGACGCACGCATCATGGAACTCGCGTTGACGGACAGTTCTTCCATGACCAAGGAGGTGCGAGGGAGGTTGTTGTCGGTGTCATACTGATCGGTTGCTCTATCACAGGGTTCCTGTATTTTTTCTCTTGCGGTGTTGAACAGACGATACAACACGACCAATGCTCCTCTTGCTGTGCCTAATGCTCAACAGAACCGCGTACCTATCTCTTTCGGTATGCAGTAAACTCAGCGCCGTTTCGATATCGAACAGTTGGTCTTGAAGCCTCAGCAGTGACAGCTTCCTTTTCGATGTCGATAGGATTTCTGCTCTTCCCTCCTTTGTTGTGCCTTCGATACCGGTTCGTTTTGCAGAGGTGCGAGGCCGAGTGCACCGGAAACACGTACTTCGGCATGCAGTACGGGAGGGAGGTGAGACGCGGTTCCTTGTGATACAACCACGCTATCAAGCAAGTTGTGTTGCTGCTATCGTGACGAAGGTTTGGTCATGTAGGCGGGTGTGAGAGGACCGAACTAATCTAATCCTTCCGTACCCAAATGGCGTAGTCTTCTCGAGCAGACGATGGAGACAAATATCCAAACGCTGGTAATTAATCATCCGACTACGGGCGGCCGCTGACCCCACCTTCCCACCTTCCACGTGTACGCTGATCCCCGACATAGAAACACGCTTTTCAGATGTATCTATCACCCAACACCAAACAGTACCAGTATAAGAGAGCCACAGAGGGTACGTCGGTGCTGGAGATGACACACCCAACCAACCATTGGAATGAACAGAAGCAGCTAGTAGCACCCACAATGTTCCATTTCGTACTTTCTCCATGTCTGTCTGCCATGAATCTACTATGGCAGTGCTTCTGCGGAGGGAGTTCAACCGACCTCTTGCAGCACGGAGAGTCAACTTCTTGCGACTATGAGTGCCCGGGGGACTCAGATCAAGTGTGCGGAGGATTCTACGCCATGAGCGTGTATTCCTACTCGTAGTATCATCTTCGCAAAACGTCGCTTCTGCTGACTTGGTGTCTGCAGTGGTGGTGTGGTGAATGCCAAGCTACCGCAATAAACACGAAGATCCTGGTAGTAACCACCCCTCCGACAACATGCGGGGGATGGTCCGAAACGTCGTGGACGCACAGAACGATATGTTTCACGGTACGAAAGGTCGCCTCCTGCAAGGTTGGTACACCCACCTAATAGGATATCCCTGATGCATATATTCATCGTTGGTGCTGGGATCGAGGACGGCACGTTTTCTGTGTGTAAGTTTTCATGGATCTGGAAGACTCTGTTGTTGGGAGATGAACTGGAAGTTCGTACAGAGCAGTACATGTATGAGGGCGGGAAAACAGGATAAGGGCATACCAATCCATGGGATTGGGGGAGGCTTGGAATGATGATGGTGTGATGCAGGTGGACCACAACTAGAACCATTGTTTTCTATGTTGGCGGAAAAGTGTACCCGAAATCAAGCTTGTGGATATCAAACAGAGAAGGACCCATCCGGGATCCACTCCGATTGCCAAGGGGGACAGCGCAGGACGTCGAAAGCGTGGGGTACCCATTGCGATTATACTTGCAGCTGTTTCCTCCTACGGTAGAGAACTCACAGGGACAGAAGAATTAATTGCAGTTAACCTACCGCCGAATTGCCGCACGGAAGCGTTGACAAAATCAACAGCGGGCCACGTTCATGCTCGGTTGCATTCCTTCGCAAGCGGCAACGTTGTCTCTAGGTTGCATGCATTCGTAAGCGGTGAGGTCGTGTTTGTGTTGCGAATCTCTTGGTGTTCGGTTGTTGTGAGACAAACGTAGACTATAGCACTGTTCTGCGGCATACATAGTTGTGCTTGTTAAAGATAATACTCTCGTTAAGACTTGACAAGATTCGCCGGCTTGCCCCCTCGAACGGTAAACGAGTGCACTGACCCCAATGTAGCATGGTGCTCTCGAAATATGTATTCCACAACATGGAAACTGCAATGGTGGTAAGGAGACTACGGGGGCGGGTGGGGACGGGGCATAAAGTGAAGCTAAAGCCACTGATACAAGGTATTGTCATCGAGGTCTGTATATACCTGTTCGTGTTCTGTGTCCGCACGGACTGCCTAGGCTTGTAGTACTGTTGCATATACTATTGTAGCACACGTAGACTTTTCATTGGTGGGGAGATAGGGAGGTTTCTATCGTACCCGCGCAGAAGAAAAATATGTATGCATGCGAGATAACGTACAGCTGGTCAGAGCTAATGCCAGCTACTGGAGTACTGTGTTTGTTGGAGCACTCCGGGAAGGTACCCATACGGGGAACCGGTTCGAGGGATTCTGCTGGTCGTCCTTTTTGCACGCAGACTGGAACGTCGGGAGGAGTCTTGCGGTGTCCACGTTTGGCATCGGTACTAACCAATGCCGGTACGAAGCAGGTTGCGGACCGGGTGAAACAAGAACCACTACATATGCCACGAACGTTTTTTATGATGCTGTCCCCTCTGAAGTACAAATTTCTGGTGTAACGGGGAATTTCGGATCACGTGGACGCGCAATCGCGCCCACGTGCCTTCCCTTTTTGTTTTCTCTCTTCGCGTTAGGCACGATCTGGTGATGAGTGGCCACATCAAACGTAGTAAAGATGCGGGTGTGTCGACTCGATTCCTTTGTCCCTGGTACACGGTAGGACACACGCCTTACCATGTGGTGGACGATAACTTGTGAAAGAAAGGAAACATATTGTCTGTAGACTCCCAACCATCTGCTGATACAGAACTCCGCCTGACTGATGCATTTGTATGTTGGCGTCTCGTCTCATTTGTTTTCAGCATAATTGCTCCTCATCAACTCGTCTCGTCTTATGGAGGATAGTATTTTGGGAGCTCTAGCCAGGGTGGTCAAGTAATCCACTCGATTAGCCAGGGTGGCTAATTACCCCGCCGCTTTCTCAGGTGTCGAGTTTCAGTCTGAGTGAAACATTCATACCTCTATTACCTGTCCGTGACCTTGCACGAGACTACTGGGGATGGATGCGGCCGTCCGTAACGATCTTCCCTAACCTTTACGCATATATCTAGGTGTCCAATCAGCGGTTGCTTCGGAGACACGAAAGGCACACGGGTGTTCACTTCATTACGGTCTGTACTGCTGTGTACCCGATACAGCAGGATCGCAAATACACCTATTATACTATGAAATAAACCTTGTTTCCAAACGTCTCTCGAAATGAGTACTGTAAGTGTTCGATACCCACCACCAGTCAGTGGTAGACGAAAGGGCAGACGCATCAGCGGATGCAAACAGGCGATGTATTGCGACCTCCGTCCTGGGACTTGCTATAGATTAGGGTCCGCGACTGCGCGAGGCGTGGAACCTGCTGAGGTGTGTGAGACTCACTATGCCTCAACCTACCTGTAGAGTGAAGAAAAATAATTGAACGCGGACGAACGAAAGAGGGGTGAGTGAGATGGTCCACCGATGCTCGGAGCTCGGAGCTCGAGGAGAGGAGACAACATCATAGGTCTATTTTGACGGCGTTGGGGTGTTTGACGCTCATGTGCAGCACTCTAGGTCAGCAGCGAGACACCTTGCGAGTGGAGTGGTTCCCACCAAACGAACCATTCCGCGCGCAGGAGCGATCGCACCCACCTCAATCTGCCCGTCTGCGCGCCCCCTAGCAATCTAGTCTGCGCGCCCCCCACTGAACGCTGCTGTTTGGTACTCGTGTACTCGTACTTGTTGCTGCGTCTGCTTTGCGGCTAGTGGAGCGTGCGTGGGTGTGTTAGCTGATGAGCGGTGCAAGTGGAGGGAGCACTCACGCTCCAACCCGTTGCCTCTATGTGAGTCCAGCCCGATGTGTGATAATCATATCGCGAACGTGTGTGTCTGAAATTTGATTTTCACGTTTGGCTTCTAATCTGCTAATACAGCTGTGTACATACGGCCAGGCAGCGTCTCGTCTCGACTGATGTTGACCATTGGGTTGTACAAGTAGAATCCTGTTTGATGCAGGCCCCAGACCATCATAGAGCTCCATGTGTGACTGTTATTTTTCCCGTAACGTGTGCAACAAGGCTGCTGATCGTCCGAGGGTCAAGGAGAGTATTTCCGTACTCTACCTCTACAACAGTAGACGCTTGCTGAGGGCCACGTGCACCTACCACTACATAGATAGCTGCCGTGATGCAGCTTCTTCGCCCACAAGCGACACCTGCTGCACCGAGTGACGACTTCTCTCTTCGCGTTACTTGCTGATATCATTGCCAAGAATCGATGCTGAATGAAGAAAGACAACACCAACGCGTGTTTCTGTGCGCTGGTTGAACTTTGCGCCCTGAAATGGTTGGAAAGAGAAAGCACCTACTTGTACAAAAGGTACAGCGGTAGGTGTGCTGTAACTGCTGTGGCGTGTAGTCTAGAACCTACAGCAGTCCCTTTCCAATAGTACACAGTAGTAGTAGTCTACGGCTTATCTACGGTACGTGGCAAATACACCGGACATGGCCTGTGGCACCAAGTAGCATAGCAACATTTTGTCGCTAAATGAACTAACTGCAGTCCTTGAGCGTGCCGATGGCGTCGCTGGTTGCACATGGCTAGCACATGCACATGGCGACAGACTGATTCCATTACATCGTACTCGTACATGTACAATACCTACCTTCATGGTGATGGGGAGTTCTTGCACACAACATACAGGCAGTAATATCGACTGGCGGAGAGACTTGTTGCGGAAATGCCCCATGTAGCCCATACTGCACGACGAGTAATATGGTACGGCATGGCAGAGCAGTAATGGCACACTGACGTATCACGTATCGCGTGTGGGATGAGTGTGATCATTGTCGAGCGTGAGCTCGGGCCGCCTTTCTCTGATTCTACTGTACATGGTAGTCTTTCTGTGTGTGTAATTATTTTTTCCTAATGGTTTATTGCTAGCATCCGCGAACAATACCCCTTCCAGCTACAACTGCGGACAAATACTGCTGTATTATTGGAAAACTGAACTCGATACTGGTATAATATTTCGCCCCATCGAACGTACGTACTGGTACGTTTGCAGCTGGCCCTTGGCGTCCCCCGCGATGCTAGTCCGCCAGACATCAAGAAGGCCTACAGGAAGCAAGCCTTGGTGTGGCACCCTGACAAGAATGTGAGGCATGTGTCATGGTAGAATGCTACAGCTGTACCGTGTCCTGGAGGTTAATCAGGAGGTTTTGGTTTCGGTGCGGCCGTAAAACCGTTGCCGTTGTAACACTGACGGCATGAATAGGCAGGCTCGCGAAGTTGCTTGGGTATTCCTTGACAAGTTCGAGTAGGAAGCGTTTGGGGGACACACCTTTGTGAGAGCGGTTAATTTACTGTTGGGTGGTCGGACTAATGTTGTGCAGTGCAGTGCAGTGTGTAGTGCAGGTTCCACCCCTTTCTCTCGAGGCCGAGTGAGGAACGTGCCCTTCGTAAGTCTTTCGTCGGTTGGCCACCCGCTGTTTCAGCTGTGCGTAGCACTGACTCGTAGGCTGTAACTGCTGTAACGCGGATCATCCGTGCTGCTGGTTTTGTTGGCGGCGGGCATGATACGCCCAGCTATCCCATAGTACCGTGTTGAACGTAAGAGTGCCAACGGTACAGCCGTTGCTGTGTTTTGCGTTGAATCGTCATCATGAGCAACTGCACCAGCACTACAGGTTGGCAACGAGGCCACGCCGTTCGCAACGTGTGCATGCCTATCGGGAACCCAGGTGGGAAACGAGGCCGAGGCGCAGGTGCGCTTCCAAGAGCTGCAGCACGCCTACGCCGTGCTGAGCAACGCCCACGAGAGGAAGTGGTACGATGACCATCGCGATGAGATCCTCAACCCGGCACGCTACGAGGGTGACGGCGATAGCGATGACGGGGCGGGCGGGCGGACGGTTAACGTGACGCCGTTCTTCAGGTGCAACTCCGATGTCTTTGCTTTCAAGAACCGTGGGTTGCACGAGATTCCACACTCCCTGTGGGCTGAGTTTTCAAAGCCTAGGGTTATCCACGACGAACAGAATGCCACAGCAGTCGAAATATGCGTTTTGGGAACGCTCATTCGAATACGCGGTTCGAACACTGCCGTTTTCAGCATCGTCGCTGCCTCTGCTCTGGAGTGCTCACACTTTGAAAATCGGTCCAAGGGGGTGTTGTATTTTGTGCGACCTAAGATGCCCACTTTTGCATTTTTTTTTCTCCAAAAAAACTAACGGTAGATTTAACTCGTCCCGGTATCGCACCATCTTACAGAGCGTGGCATCTGCTCTGAGAAAGTTCGGGTTGCGGATATTTGGTCTACCGCGCCCCTATGTTCCGTGTTTTGTTTGGGCCACTTTGCATCTCGTGCGCAATGGACCCATCCGGCAACTTCAATGTGCCTCGGCACTGCTCGCTGTACGTCTGACTTTCACACGCAGCGCGGCAACGTTCTCCGGCTTCGGAGATGATGAGTCCGGCTTCTACCAGACCTACACCAGAGCGTTCCGAGAGGTGTGGGACGCCGAGAGAGATTGGGGTGAAGCTTCGTCTGATGGGAGTGGGTGGGGTCAGGGTAGCCCGCCCGAGATGGGCGGGTCGAAAGACAGCTGCGAAACGGCGGAGGAGTTCTATGGGACGTGGAGCGGGTTCGTGTCGGGGCTGTCGTTCGGCTGGGTGGACGAGTACAACGTGAACGAGGTCAGTGAGCAGCGACGGCAAGCTTCAAGGCTGGCTGGCCTGCCATTGCCGCGGCTGCCGTCGTTGTTGATGTTGTTGCTGTTGGAGTTGTGGTTGTTGTCGTTGTTGCTCTCTTTGTGTTGGTTCTCGTTCTGACCTCCAATGTTGGACTTTTCGGTGTGCCGTGCATGGAATGATTCGAAAGTGTCGCCGTTTAAAATCGTTTGCTTGAGCCGTAGAGGATCACCGCTCCTTCTGCTCACTTCAGACGGATACCGGGCGCATGAGATCGGTCGGGAGAGACAAGAGTAGTGTCGCAACAAAGGCTACGACGCCACGAGAATGCAAGCGACGAATCCAATCATGCTCACAGGATGTATTAAAACAGTAGTGCCACCTCTGCTTTGATAGGATATGTAATGTGGGCGTCATATTTGTCAAACCTCCTTTGCCCTCATACGTATTCGAGCAATATTGCACCAACGCCCCTCTTAAAAATATGTACGTGTCTGATGATAGTAACAAAGATTCAGTTGAGTCTGGCGAATGTGTCGCTAATGTAAACAGCAGCAGTATGCCGATAAACACGCTCAGATCGAGGTGAAGCTGCTGGGGGTTAGACCAGTGTACAAAGACCCTGATGATGGTTTATTGTCGTCTCATTATGATGTGAGCATTGCTCAGACTACAGCTTATGTGCAAAGCTAGGAGAGGGAAAGTTGGGAGAGAGCTCGTTGGGCGAGCTCGTCCTCTGCCTGTCTAAACAACAAACTCCAGAACCCAGAGACTGGTCCGAAAAATGTTCCGGAGTCCTAGTAACTTTCTACTTGGTCGGGCAACGGTTCTGGAACTACGCTTGCACCGTTCTACATGTCGTGTACTCAAATTACCGTTCGTGCCAACACATGTTGTTCCTCTCAACGTCATTGAGCACGGGTCCAGGAAAGTCAGAAAATATTCCTTGGGCGACATATTCATTCTACCCAGTTGACTCTCCGCATACGTTGCGTTTTTCTCCAGACGATGGATCATTGCGTACAACAACCATACAGCAGCATTTGAGCATACTCCTATGTAACCAAGAGTGTTGCTGCTGAATATCTCAACACGCCCCCTTGAATGTAAATATCCACGAACAGGCTGAGAACCGGCGTGTCCGACGTTTGATGGAGAAGGAGAACAGCAAGAAGAGAGCGATTGCTAGGAGGAAGTACCAAGATGACGTACGTGCACTGGTGGACTTCTGCCGAAGGAGGGACCGCCGTGTGATCCGCTACAAGCTCAAGCTCGCCAAGGACAAAGAAGAGAGGTGATTGGCCGTGCTGCACGTCCCTTGAAGTGATTGGAAGATCGTGTGTGATTGCTCGACACTCTGCTTCCTACAACAATCGCGTGTAGACAACCATATTTGGACGACATCGGCAGACAATATCTATAGTAGTCGCTTTGTCACTCGGTGTCCCAACCCCGATAAGGGCGAAGGCACCGTGAGTGGCCCATACGCTGGAAGTATTTGCACTTGGTTCTCCGACCCCGGTTGGAGAACAAGGGTACCGTGAATGATGGTGATGCTCGAAGACTAGTGGGAACTATTCACCCGAACCAAGACAACGCCTTCAATCGGCTCAGAACAGAGACCGCTTTCATGTTTTTGACGCTGGGGAGTACCATATGCGGTAAGGTGTGTTGCGCGCTGGAGTTTGTGCCCGTGACACATGACTTGGCACCTTCTTGATCATTGATGGGTGTATCAATTTTGTTTAATTGTTATCTTCGTCCTGGTTATTGTTGATGGTGGTGTTGCATGTTTCTGTGCATCAAGGGAGAGGAGACGCCATGAGGAAGCACTCAATCAAAAGGAGGACATGAAGCGCCGGAAGCAGGAGTGGTGGGTGCGATTTTCGATTATCCCGTTTGATCAGGCACACAATGTACTTGTAGTACAGACCCTGCATTGATCATATCTGGCTTCATGTAGCTGCGTAACAAGCATGCCTATGAGACCACCGTCGCCCTTGAGCCGTCGATTCCATTGTGCGAGCAGCGACGATTGATACGCTCACTGCTGCGCAAACGAAGGACGTTTTCGCATTTCACGGTCAATTTGTGTGGTATGCCTCTACCGCGCGGAATACGCAAAGGCCAAATGACTTACGGGTCTGTGACCTCCGAAAAATGAGGCTATGGGACTGCGCGTCCGAAAATGTTCCCACCTACATGTAGCAAGCCATCTCGAACGAAGGTGTGAGGGCGTTTTGTTTCCCCAGGCCACAACTCGACGCATACCTATTAATAGGCCAGGTTCGTTCGTCCCGTGGCTGCTGGCGGAACCGCCTGTGCTGACATGGGTTCCGCTGCCATTGTCCAGGGGACGGCTATGTGGTAGGCGCAAATTGTGTGGTGCTCACGTCCAAGCATGCCTCCGTGTTGGTGTATTTCTATGCAACTGCGCATCTGTGGCACCGTAGGGCTAGAGCTAAGCACGAGGAGGAAGAGGCCGAGGAGGAGGCGAGGGCGAGAGCGGGAGGGGAAAAGGCCTTTCGTTTGGATGATGAAGATGATGAAGATGACGACGATGAGGATAAGGATGATGGGACGGGCAGTGACCCGGAAGAGGAAGGTCGCCACCGCAAGAAGAATGCCAAGCGGTACGAAGGCGGTTCGATTTGAGTCGGACTGGTCTGTTGCACTGTGAACTGCACGAGCTTCCAGCTTGTGTCGTTCGATGATGTGCCTTGGTGGGTGTGCTTCCTGGTACTCAGTGATTGTGCTACCAAACGAGAAGCTTTTGTAGGCGTTGTACGGGCGTGATTCGAAGTCTCTGTTTCTCAATGACAGAGGCCACACGGGTGGTGCTTTCGCTGTCTCCGCGTCACAACACATGCTTATTGATAAGATTTGTGGACGTTTTCTGACCACGCGCCTGAAATGACGTGCTCCCTTTTCACTGGCGTTGTAGTGCGTGTTAGCGTGAGTAAAACCATGGGTGGACGCGCGGCACTGTTGTTACCTATGGACCGTAATCGATTTCTTTGCGGTTGTCTCAACATTTGCACAGGCGAGCAGGCCGAGGTGGTAAAGGAAGCGGCGGCAGGGAGCAAGAGGTGACTGTGTTCGTCTGCGCAGTGTGCAAGAAGGACTTCAAGTCCAAGGGACAGATGTCGAACCACGAGACCTCCAAAGCACACAAGAAAAAGCTCAAGGTAAGTTGAAGGCCATCATCATCATTGTTGTGGTTGTTTTACTCACGTTTCAAGCTGTTCTGACCACTGCCCATAATCTCCTCTCGTCAACTCTTCAAGGCGAAAAATACGAACTCCCGTCGCCACCACAGCTAAACCCAAAATGACGCATATTTGTTTCCAAGAGCATGTCCCCAACACTTGCGAAAAGAATGGGCAACCGGCTGACGGGTAGAGAGCGAAACAGTGAGCGCACATAGGCTATTTGAGATGGCGCGATTTAAGAAAGTTGGGCTAAGTTTTTCTATTTGTCGCCGCACATTCGCGTGTTTCCCGGGTTGCTACTGTAATCCCCAACCATCGCAGGAACTCGACGCGGAAATGCTACGAGAAGCGATGGCGAAAACTGCAGGAAGAAAAGGGATGGAAGGGGAAGACCACGACAACAGCAGTAGCGCATCGGAAGATGGTAGCAGCGATACCGAAGGGTTAGCATCGTCAGAGGGAGAGGGAGACTTCTTCTTGGACTCGGCCATGCGTGATGTAGATTTGGACGGCAGCAGCCACAACCAAACAGCGACGGTGGATCGGAAGCAGGAGGCTTCCCTCTCCGCATCAGCTGGCTCTGATAGCGACGAGGAAGAGACAAAGCCAGGAGGGAGCCGGAGCAGTAGGGAGGCGAAAATGCAACCGCAAAACCGAGGTCGTGGCCTATTTGATTTCGGCAGCAGTAGCGGCAGCAGCAGTGAGGAGAACAGCAGCGGAAGCAGTAGCGACAGCGACAGCAGCGGGAGCGGCAGCAGTGGGAGCGGGAGTGGGAGCGGGAGTGACTCGGGTAGTGGCGACAATGACGAAGACGACCCGAACTTGTTTGAGACTATCGCAACGGCATCAGAGGCTGCAAGCCAAATCGACCCGGACGGAGACATGCGAACCGCCGCCGCAGTGGCCGCCTCTGCTGCGGCCATGGCTGCTGCCAACGCAGCCACAGACAGGTTTCATCTCAGCGGGGACTTGGGCAGCGCCGTGTCTGCAGCGACGTCGGCGGGCCTTTCTTGGTGGAAGAAACACAACGCTGAGGCATCGGACGGAGAAGAAGACGCGGACGTGTCGATGAGGGCTGGGGAAAGCGACGACAGCGAAGCCGGGACGAACGGGAAACACCGAAAAAACAGCAAGGGCGATCACGATCACAACCACAGTCCCGCAAAGGGCAAGCACCACCGGGAGCATGCAGCCAAGAGAGCCCACGGACACTCGAAGGCAGGCACGCATGAACGCGAGCAAGGTCGGCGGAGGCATACTCGAGAAGAGGACCAAGACGACAGCGAACACCGGGGAAAGAAGGGAAACCCAGCGAAGGGACAGCAAACCGGCCACGCTAGAGGGCGGGGTGCCCACCAGCGAAGCCCGAACGAGACGCGTAGTGGTAGTAGTAGCGGGGCAAGAAGCGATGATGGCTCTGACGATAGCCGCCGAGTGGAAGAGTTAGAGCCCGCCGGAAAGCGAGGACGGCGAAAGGCTGGAGGGCACCACGCAAAGGCTGGTAACCTGCTCGGCAAGAGCGGGAAGGGGGGGGATGCCGATAACGCTGCCCCCGCCGGCGGGGGTAAAGGGGCTAGGAGACGTAAAAGACAGGCGCTGAAGGCTGCCAAGGGCGGGCACGGTAAGAATGTCGGACATGGCACGGCTGCTGACGGCGGCCCACGACGAGGAGGAGAGGAGGGCGGGTTGAGCTGCCGAGTGTGTGGGTCGAATTTCCCTTCGCGTTCCAAGCTGTTTGCACACGTCAAGGCCGAAGGACATGCCGTGCTGAGTTGAAAAGGCGGCTCCGTTCTGGCCCCGATGGCTTTGGGACGGTTGTCGCGTTGTACAGATGTATTGCCTCGCACGCGCATCGCTGTACGGTGGTAGTGTGTAGGCGTGTTTCCGAAGTGTTATCAATTCTATTTAATATTTATAGAGCATTTTTCTTGTGAGAGCACAGCAGTGTAACACGTACGTGGTCATGATTGTTTCGGCGTGCTGTCGTAGAGAAGATCAACAAGTGCGAAATACGGCCAATCCACTCGTGGTATCTTAAATGTGGGCCCATACGCTTCTGCCTTGTGCCTTATTTAGCGGGCATCCAATGGTTACTCGAGGCGCTGAGGCCAACATGCAACCCGGGTTAGTGACACCGAGGAGGCTCCGCCTTGAGTCTGGCCGTGGTGTTGGGCTCTGGGACGTTGCAATTCTAAGTAGTATTTGGTTGCAGGTGCCTGAGGCCCAGTTGCCACATGATTTGGCGTGTCAAAATCCAGGATATCAACCAACGTCGGCTTGAAGGAGGACTTTTCTCGGTGCCAGGCATGCGGGTGGTCGCCCATCGGACTCAACACGCGCAACCGCGTTTTGGTGGTTGCTTCCGCGAGTTTTAAGAAGGGGGGCGCAGGCGATCCTGTTAAGGGAACAGTCTAGAGGGATGAGATCGCTTGCTCTGGCCGGCTTGTGGTGGGTACGCGGGTAAAGTCTGAGAACATTCACTCAGGCTAGTACGATTTCCCGACGAATTGAAGAAGACAGAGGTTGTTAGAAGTCAAGTTCTGCGAAAGTTGGAGAGGATCGCGGGCCTCGCCAATGGGTTCTAGACGTGTAACTGGGGAGAGCTACAGAAATAGTAGAAGAAATTCTGTACACCCAAAACCAACCTGCTTTTCGCCGGCAACCAACCAAACGCAGCAGGTACCAGCTGTACTACTGCTGTAGGATGTGAAGGAGTAGGCCCGACGTGTCTACGGGACGCATGCTTACCACGCACGAAGCATTGAAGGAAACGCGTTTTTTTGCTCGAGAAAGGACAGTGGGGAAACTCGGGCCCGATGAGGTTATTATTGGCAACCAACCGTTCAAGTTCCCATCTCTTTATGCTCGATATTCGGGCTACTGGTGTATTGTGTAGATGTGTCCACATCCCCCACGTCTTTTTACAAACGAACATAGGTCGTCGTGTCGTCGTGTCGTCGTTCCACCCCATTCTGTCATCCACAGCCGCATCAGTTACACCAGTACCTCAAAGTCGTATGACAGAGAGCCGGAAAAACTCAGTGAAGCAAGTATATTAAAAACACACAGAAAGACTATACCCATTCAAGAAACTTAAGGAATAATAAAAACACACACAGAAAGACTACCCATTCGAGATATACCCACAGTCGAACGGGATGTGGTGGAGTCTTTGCAGTGAGTGGAGGGAAACCGGCTGGGTACTGGACTTATTTCGAGTCTTTTTAAGTCTATACACTGATGATTTATACCAGTGATGCCAGCTGGTGCTAAGTACAAAAACATGTGTATAGATAGGTAACTTACATTTATTTTACAATACATCCCCTGTAGTTCTCTACGGGGTCAACGACAAAATATCGAGGAGAATCCCTCCGTTGTGTCGTGTATTGTAAAATGTAACGTGTTGTATCCTTCGCCACTCCGTAACATGTCCACACCACTGCTCCACACGGAGAGACCAACTGCTACTCGCTGCTGCTGCTGACCTTCATGACGGATGCTCTACGACGTGATTACGACACATGGTTGCGACAAGATATCTCGACAAACCGCTTTGAGGAACACCAGGGAAGTTGACAACAACCACCACATTTAGATGTTTATCATTTGGAAACTTTCCATGCTCTACTGATGGTGTTTACCAACACCCAACATAACAAGAAACAAGCTAACATGATACAACCTGAATGGTATGCCCTACCTACCATGCACCAGGTATTATACCATTCTCATCTACTGCTGTATAAACATCCCTGATACGTTACCCCAAAGGATCAAAAACGATTATTTGTAAATTAAAAAAAACGGCGGGAAACACCTACTTACTGTCCGTGAAATTCAAAAATCTGTAGATTTAAAAAAGGGAAATAGACACAAGTGGGTATGCCCACCCCTTTCTCGGACAAAAGTGGGTACTCGAAAATCCAGCGCGCGCGCACTCCATAGGCGACCCCCAAACGACTCAAAACCCCATTCTGACACCTGGGCGACACAGCCAGGGACCATAAACAGCACGGGCATCGATTTTACCCACTTTTAGGCACACCTTTGGCCCTACTATCGCCGACACGCGCAAGGCCTCACCAGAGTGCCCACTTATGTCCGACATCGCGGTGGGTACCGTATATGACACAAGATAACACACCCCCTGGACCGATTTCCAAAGCTCGATTACTCCACGATGAAGAGGATACACAAACAAAACGATACATTTTCGAAAATTTCTCGACGAGACGATTCCAACGCTGCCGTTTTCGGCGCCGTGACTCTTCCTGCTGTTGAGAAATCGAGCTTTGAAAATCGGCCAAGGGGGTGTGTTATCTTGTGTCATATACGGTATACCCACCGGCGTCAACTAATTTTTTCATGTACCCACTTGTGTCTGTATTTTGACCCACTTTTGTCCAAATTGTACCCACTTTTTGTCCACTTACGGACGGC